CACCGCCTGAGGGCCCCAGGCTGTGAGGGCTGAGGCCGCGCTCCCCGGGACCGCCCTCCATCCCACCGCGTTCTTCCCGGAACCGCGGCGCCGCCGGGCCTTTAACTTCTCGCAGTGACAGCGCGTCAGACACTAGGTCCGGGCTCGATCCTAGTATTTCCAGAGGTTCCCGCTCTTGTATAAAAAGAACATTTATTGTCTGACGTGTCATGCGTTGGAGTAAAACTCGGATTTGGTAAAGTATTTTTTTAAAGTCTGGCTCATCATTCAAGACAGGTTTTCTACGTTACAGCTTAAGTTTTGGAGGGAAAATAGTGTTTTATAGCCTTGACTACTAGTAGAACTCGTTTCCGTAGCAGTGTTTATGGAGCCCTTCCTCTGTTCCGGGCACTGCTCTAAACGGAGCCTTTTAGCTCCTGTAATCTTCATAACACTTAGCCCTTGCACAGATGAAGAAATGGAGGCACAAAGTTTAGATAACTTGCTAAGGAAGATCTCGCAGCCAGAAAATGGCAAAACCGGGGAGCCAGCATCTTGTAGTTTTTCCTCGAAAATGTACGGGGGTCACTGAGCAGCGTGAGAATGCCTGTCCTGAGCTGGGCAGTTTGGGCGTTCACAGCATGTATAGAAGGGCCACAAAGATCTCCCTTCTCCTGCACTACTGTAACTTGATTAATACGTTTGAAAATGGAAGCAGCTACATTAATTTGGAGTTTTCAGTAAGCCGTTATCGCTTCCATTGTGGGTTTGTTAGATGTTAAAGTTTTTCTCGTTACAGTTTCTGCACTTTCAGCTCCACCCCTTTTTGTCCTCAGTTAATCCGAACTAGCAGAGGGGGATCATTCCAATTTCTCATCTGTTCTGCCCTCTGGTGGAAGTGTTAGTTAATGAATAGGAAAATCCCAGGAAAATCTTAGGAGACCTCGCCTCTGGACAGTCCAGTAAGGTATAAGGTCTATTCCTATATTTGTTTTTGTGTATATGCCATACATTATTAGCAAAACTTGACCAAATGTTTTGAGGGAAGCACTGGAAAGAGAATTTGGGCTGGAAAGTGTAATTATTAAATCCCTTACTTTATAATTTAAAATTTGAACTTTACAATCCTTTGTTCTGTTGTCAGGAGAAAAAGTACATACTTGTGAAAGCAATTTCAAAGAATAAAACCTCTACTGATTGCTCTATCAACTTCAGATTTTGGTAGACTTTGGAGTAGCAACATTTGAGTTTTACTTTGTTTATAGCAAAGAGCAGTGTGTAACTTTGTATCTTAATGACCTTCAAGTACTAAGAAGCTTGCTGTGGTAGATGAAGGGCAAATAACTATCAGTAAGGCCAGGCTAGTGTACTAAAGTGTACTTGGCAGTTGGCCAAAACTAATTGATTAAATTCCTGGGTGAGGTGGGTATCAGAAGAAATGGATTTTTTGGTTATTGTTCGTTTAGCTAGTGAGTTATCGAAGAAGCCAGCACAGTACTCATAATGGAGCTCTCAAATTTTTTTGGTTTGCTTTTGTTGTTTGATAGCAAAGGACATGATATTAGGATTTTTTAAAAAAGAGAGAGCACCCAATAATTTTGTTATAAATTCTCATTAAAGCAGTTTCCACTGACATCAGGGATTATTATTTTTAATCTCATTTCATGCTAGGGTGAATTTTTAAAATTCTTTGTAACAGTTTATACCTTGGTCTTAGAAAACTAAGCTTTTTACCTGTATTTTCTATAATCTAGGGTTGGAAAAATGGCCAAAAGACTTGCTGACAAGGAATTGACAGATAGGAATTGGGATCAAGAAGATGAAGCTGAAGAGGTAAAGAAAAAAGTTTGATTTCTATATTTATATTTATTTGCATATTTTTTAATAGACCATAGATTCGTTTATTTTTAATGCCCATCATGCCATGAATTCACAGGGGATAGATTCCAGACACTCAGGCCGGTTTCCATTGGCTCTCACCTGTGCTGCTCTGGGTGGAGCCGGCTGGCGCTTCAGTTGAACCCAGTACCTTTCTCTTTGTTTTCCTCCTTTTTCTGGTCATTTTCCTTCACATGTTTTAGGAAGCTATCTCGGCTCTTAGAATGCTTAATATCTCAATATGCACATTAATTCTCTTTGTAAGAATCTTGTTTGTTTACAATGCCAACAGCATGCTGGGTAACACTGTAGACTCTCCCAGTGTTGCCATGGTCACATTAGTGGGGCGTTCCTTTTTGGACAGTCCCCATTCCCTAGATGTGTACAATATCACCTTTCCTTGAGATTTGCATGTTGCCAAAGGAGCCACTCCGTGTTTCCTAAAAGGCCTAGAGAACACAAATCGGCTGCCTC